TTTTTTTTTTTTTTTTATCACTAAGTTAAACTTACAATATTATCCCTCGTATACAAATGTTCAAGAATTTCTGTTTGTCCAAATAATTGTATCCACGTTAAACCTAATAAAAAAAAAAAAGTTCGAAAATGTCAAACGCCTTAAATTTCGGTTATTCCCAATTATAATGATAAGAGCTTGGAAAATCAAAAAGAGACGTCCTCAATGCACCAACTAGATACAAAATTCAACAATAATGTTTTTTCGTTATTCTTTTATTGGATCAGGATTTCTTATATGTAAGTCGTCCATAGTAAACATAAAAAATGAGTACATAATGTCATTGTAATACCCATCGTTCCACTCAGAATCTAAAAGAACAGTATGTTTCACATATTTCACACCATTGGTATGGTAATGTTGTAGATGGTCACTTTTTTATTATATTATGCAAAAGATCAAAAAGTCCGAGATTCAAGAAACAGCTCTTATTACATACAAATAGAAAATAAATTAAATATCTGATTTTGATTTTGTATTCTCTATCTGTCCTCTAGGGTTCAACATTTCAGATATTTTCGTGCTACATTTTGTCAAAATAAATATTGTGTAATCTCATTTCCCTATTTTTTTGTCAGTTTTTCCATATTATTGTTGAAAAAAAAAAATACGAGGAATTTTAAAAAACGGCCTACTGAAGTCTTGAATACATCAAATGGATCAGAAATTCTACCAACACCCCTCCCTACCGTACACACACGTGTCTTCTACTCAACAAAACAGGAATCATAATCGTAATACGCTAAAACAATTATTTAAGTGGGTACGTATCGAATGATAGAACCTTATCAACCGATTTTAATAGTTATTGCAATAGACATAATATTTAACAAGACCTATAATAATAAACAAGAAAACATTATTTTAATTAGATCTTCCATTAATACAGTAAAGTACCGAGAAATATCAACGTTGATTAATCAAAACAAATTCTCATGATTCATAGTACGTGAAATATGTATGCAAAAATGTGATATCATTCTAAAACCGTATACTTAATTATAATAGCATCATTACAAATTATCTAGTTATAGTTATTAGATTTTGTCGATAGCAACGCAATTATTCCAATGGAAAAAAAAAAATGGTATACTAAAACCAAACTACAATTTTACGTACAGCTGGTAATTATTTTGAGATATATTGAGAGCAGCGATAAGTTTACAGCTGAAAAACGATTTAGTTCCAAATATTATAAGTAATATTATTTTAAAACGAACGTCAATCGATTTTGTTAAAAATAAAACAAATGTTCTACAGCTGGTCGACAATATTGTCTACGAGTTTTCCTAGGCTTACGAAAACTGATAAGAATATGTTGGAAAATCGCTTCGTTAACATATATAATAATATCGTATTAAACATTAATAACATTCATGTGTACATTATCGGTAACTTGTTAATGACCCTAACCTACCCTACCTATCTACGTCCTATCTAACAGTCGACTCACACCCCTGGCAATAAAATTTAAGTTTTCGAGATCATCTTAAAAAAACAAAGGTTTCCCAAAAAACAATTTAGCGAAAATGTATTATGCTATACTCAGTATACTACAGTATAGTATACTGTAATGGACATAATATAATACCGTACATAAATAATACATACTGTACAAGTATTGAGATATGTCGGTCGGTATATTAGTTATATTACAATATTAACTAATTGACCTAGGTACACATTATAATACTGTACCAACAAAAATAGTGTATACGGTTACATAATAATTTTGGTATTCGGTTTATCAATTGTCTAGAGCATAACCGATAAGAAATTTATACATTTATACAGCATTACGTTTAATTGTCGATAACCGATATTTCAAAAACTATTGAACTTTTTCAATACGTAATTATTTTATTTTTTTGAGAATTTAAAAAATGATCGATTCTAAAATGCTACATAATTTTTCGTCCATATTGTTTTTGATTTTGGTTAGGGGTTTCCGTAAGAGAAGAATAGTGAAGCGCATCATTTTTCAGGCGATATGGCGCGCGACGTTTTATTAGTGCTCGACTACTTTATTTCACCCACCAAAACTTAAAAGTGTAATATCTTGTCAATGAGTTGACGGAAATAAAAAATGTCAATACCAACACTTTTGTAACTCAATTTAACCTCGTGGAATTTTTAATATAAATTGCCGTTTTAAAATCAATAATAGGTGATCTTTTCATCCCCTCTTCCCCCTACCACCAAAAAAAGTTGATAAACAATTATAGTAATTTTAGAACTGATTGTTTATTTTTAGATTTTCAAAAAAAAACATTTTTGAAAAATAAATACTTTTCGAAATATCGGGTGTAGATACTTAAATGGAACACCCTGTAGAGATATGTTTTATGTCACTATAATATACTGTATACAAACTTGTTAATAATTCACCGAATAGGTGGATTCCGGTCTATTGTTAAAATTATTATAATAAATAATCATGCATTGTATACCTACCGACATAATAACAATAATCGGAACGTAATAAAAAAACAACTGTTGTTTATATATTTTATTACATAATAAAAAGACCACCATTACATAACATTTTATTTATTAAAAAAGAAGAAAAAAAAATTAAGAAAATAATATCCATGCGCATACCAAATACCTATACCTATAGATACTTGAACATTTAAAATCGTTCGAAATTACCGTCATTTTTTGTAATTAAATTTTGTTTAATCATTTTAAGTAAAGATAATTGTTTTATTTTTCCCCGTATCCTTATTATTCGATTACAATTCGACGTATGCGCTCCAATTAACACGCAAAATGTTGATCATCCGGGCAGTTTGAGGAAAAAGTAAGTTTCTCGCGTACATAATAGTTAAACCTAGTTAAACCCACTTAAGCTTGATATTGTAACACTCGGATATAATGCTCGAAGAGCATTGTTCGCGATGTGTATTTTTTCTCCGGTCAACTGTAGGTAACTTAATATACTATTATTAAACGCAGATTTATCAGGACTACGAAAATCAACCGGTCTCAATTGGATCGCAGACGGCGTTAGTCTTCCGAATCGGATGGAAGTGAATCAGAATTAGAGTTGCCCAGACGTGTAAATATCATCAATAGTACTGTATTATCAGAATCGGCAGGTGAACGGGTCGAACGTATAAAAGAAAATATTACAATATCGGTGGCGTTGAATCTGAAACGAAATGGAAATCGCGTAATCGACTTTATTGAGAAAAAAAGGTTTAAATAGAAAAAAAATTTACAGTTTCAAATATTGACTGCGGTCGAACTTCTACGAAACACCTCAAAACTACCCTTCTCTGGGCTACCCGGATGGACAACATCAACTATATTGTTACCGTAAAATAGCGTAACGTTAATAATATATGGTAACTTTGATAATGGATATTATTTTATTAAAACATTGATATAAACAGTTGATATCGTATACGAATTTTCGTTTTTCGTGTTTTTTCGAGTAGTACGTCGGCTTGTAGGATTTATATTTACTTTTCTTTACCTGTGTCTAATAAACCTACATTATCAATGTTACCCCACTCATGTAAAATTTAAATATCTTAACAAATAGTTTTTGATAAAGTCTTAACAAAACATTTTGTTGTCGGCAACATTGATAGTTTTCACATTATACCATATGATTTAAATCGAATCGGTCGGTGCAATCGTTCACTACTGCGTTAAACGATATTGGACGTCGATAAAAAACAATAATGACGTTTTTAACATTACCGTTAATTTGAATAGATAAAATATTCTCACAGTGCACTTATTACGTTTTTGACACTGTTACATTTTGATATTTTTGTATCACTCATTTTTGATATTTCAATAAAAACTATTGGCCGTGGGTATTATTGCTTTCCTTCTTTCATTCCTCGGTCTATAATACATAATCAAAAATATTCTCCTTTAACTTTATATTTATTATACCTCCCTTATCCATATTCGCCATTATACACTCCACTCAAAACCTAAGTGCAAAACATTTGGTCATTCCGGACTAGCATATTAATGTCCTAAGCGATTGAAACCACCGCCTACTTAGGGAATCCACCAAAGCTAGCTGCCCAAAATTGGTGATTTAGTAATAGGTTTGTTACCTATTTATTATGATATGTGAGAGGTTGCGAATGTGTTGATACGATAAATCGAAAACCAACGTAATATTATAATTATATTATTATTGTATATAACGCCGAGGAAAAAAGGTTTAGAATTTGAACCGTCAGCCGTTCTACTGGCAATATCTCATTTATTTTTACGACGACCACCGTCCGTTCAAATAGTTATACAACATTACGGCGACGCGTGACTACCGCGGCGGAAGTAATTAAGTACCATATCACCGGCTGCACGATAAAGGCGGTGAATTAGCATAGTATATTAATTTTTTATTATACTCCGAGATCTACATGTTATTCAGAAATAATTTTAGTTCAAATACAATCTTTTATCAGTTATTATTTCGGACGAATTTATTTATCAAAATGTTGAAAATTCGGTTGAACGACATCCAAAGTCTTATTAATCGAATTTGTCACGACTGTTTCCCGTTTACAAGAGGAGTTTGAATCGCAAATATCCGTGGTTATTAAACAGCTATTCAAACCCGAGCAAAAGAGTGTGGAGTCACAGTGCTCACCGAAAGTCATTCGTGAAAAATTTGACGAGGTATTTTTCACTATAATGATGGTTGCAGAGGAATTTACACCGGCACCCTAACGCGGAAGAAACATTGGTTAATTGAATAATTCTTGTTAAAATTTAAATACCATACCGTTTGAAAAAATTATCAATTCCTCGATTTAAAGGTGACCCCGAAGAATACACAGGTTTTAGAAATGTGTTTGCTACCATGATACATTAACCCGTTGAAAAGTTTAGCTACTTCAAAGCGTACTTAGAAGGTGAACCATTAAAACTCGTTACCAATTTAATATTGAGCGATTACAATTATAATTGAGTATTGAAGATTTTAGATGCTAGGTACTCAAATCGGCGTATCATTATTCAAAGTCATTTGGAAAAGCTTTGGGATATTCATAAGACGTAAAATCGATCCAGCAACTGCTGAACACCATCGCCGAGTCTATTGGGGCTCTAAAAAACCAGAACTACGTGGTCAATCAGTGGTATCCCATCTTGCTTCATTTATTTCAGAAAAATGTCGATAGTCAGCTTCGCGCTCAATGGGACCTACTTGTCGATACCAGCGACGATCCCAGTGTAACTGTCTTCATTACCTTTTTGATTAAATTCTGTAATGCAACGCTCGCTGGCCAGCCCGGAGGTGGGCGCGAAAAATTCTTGAATAAATTTCAACCAAAGCGTTACACTCGACACAACCAATGCAAAGTTCTAATACATCAATACATTAAGACTATTCAGAAAATAAAAGACCATTTACTTGTCAAGTTTTTAAGGTGAAACCTGGTCACTTACTGATAGATTGTACAGTATTCAAGGAAAAGTCACTAAAAGAAATATACCAGAAAATTGAAGAGTTAATTCATTGTTTTTTGTGTTTCATCAAACACATGGTCACACTATACAAACACAGTAAGCTATGTTCTGAATGTGGTGGTCGTCATCACACTTCGTTACACTTCAACACCTCTAATTCTGACTTACAGTTACCGGTAATGAATGCTTTATTCTCTTTGGCAGAGAACTACCCTTATCGTCCCAAAGTGTTGTTGTCCACAATAACCGTTCTCAAACACGATGCGAGTGGCCATTATCATGAAGCCCGAGCCTTGCTGGTTGGTGGAAACCAGTGTAGTTTCATGACAGAGCACTGTTAGCTACGATTAGGTTTACAACTACAAGAATGTTACGTAGGAGTTCAAGCTATGGCTGGTATACAGGTACCTTCGATCGGTACTTTAAAGAGGTAATTTTTTGATTTTTCCGGGAGTTCTTCTAGCTAATTTGAAAAACCGGAAAAAACAGGAAAAGCGAAAATAACGTAAGAAAAATGGGAAAATCATTTGACAAAGCATCACTATCAACTTAACTCCGCTCAGAATCGTTTTTTCGTAAGCAATGGTTTATCACTACTTACAGATATACATTATACTATCTATAACTGTGGCTGCACTCGTCCCCATTATTCTAAGACGTCTTTTTTATAATGAAATTTCAGATTATGTGTTTAGTTATCACTATTCAATAATCGTAGACGTGTATCGTTGCACACCCCGTAGTCCGTGGACTGACCATATTTACTAATTTTGAGCTTTATTCAATTAAATGTTAACCCGTGACCCATGAGAGATGAAGAGTTGTTACAGTAAATGAACCAATAAATCAAACCAACCGGTGACCACTAACCGTCACATTAGTTATCACTGCCTTAGTTTCGAGGTTTATCATAATAGTGATATTAAGATTTTTAACTGGTTATAATGATGTCATCATTTATTGTAAATAGTTCTTGGGTCATTTTTTTGTGATTTTCTACCTATGTATAAACAATAATGTTTTCATAAAACATACATAAGTACCTATCTACTTACCTAGAGAGTAAACAATGTGATTTTTAACGAATTTATATTTTGCATTCATTTCCTTATTTTTAGGGAGAAGGGTATTTAAGTGGTAGTGATTTTACGATGGGAGGGGGCGAAAAGCCAACTATATGGACCACTCCGTATACCGATGTAATTTCAGTAAAATTTCGTCTAAAAAAAAAAAAAAAAGCCGCTATTATACCTTTGAAATGCATATGATTTTGCAGGGCCCTTTCCAGTAAAACGTTGAAATTCCACTAGGTACAGGATTTAAGGCCAGCTTAAGATATAACATAACGCTAGGTTTTTTTTATAGCACGTCCGACGAATATGTATATAATATAATATATTATATAACTACTAGTAAAACAGGTACTTATTTATATAGTTTCAGTGTCTCGGAGGAGTGAATGATCCGTTTGCCATGTGGTATTTTTCTTAATTTTACGTATATATTTTATTATATAATATTCTTCAATTGACACTGTTAACGTTTTAGACCGGCCAACCTTGAGTTTTTCTTTCACCGCGCGTGTGTACAGTTCAGCTGGCGTTCAGTCGGTGTTCGAACGTTGTCAAAATAAAAAAACGCTCGCCGCCGACCGGATTACTCGTATCTACATAGAATATTATTATTTCGAATAGGTTACCTGCCTAATATTAATCCTAACGATCCGATTTCGCGTCTTGTAAATTATTTATACATTTTCCGTTTGCATTTCATTGTTTACCGTTAAATAATTATATCAATAGTTCTCGATGCAATTTAATGCGTTCGAATATTATTAAACGAAAATGTGTCCAATACGTATACAATAATAACTGCGACAGTAATTTGAACTGAAAAATCAAGTGTATTGTTTTAGGCGATCCGGAGAATATTATAAGGTAAATATTTCAGACGCTAATAGAATTAGATTTTTTTCTATTATTTTATTATTTTATTTTTATTAACAAAGAAATCTTGCTCCAATCAAAAAATTACAAGAGAGCGTTATTGTAACATTACAAAATCTAACTAGTGCACCGAGGACGTCGTTTTTTTTTTTTTATTATTTGCCTTGTAGTTTAGTTAGAGAAAACTTAGAAAAACAGAAAAGTTTATGGCAGCAGCGGTTTCATTATTTTCGATTTAGTTTTTTTGTAGCAATTCGATTAGAAATAATCGTAAAGAGCTGATAGTTTAAAAATTCACACAACACCCTATTAATATTTCGTCTTTTTCTAGGCGTGATGACATTTCCAACATATTCTGGAGGTTTTTTAGTTATTTATAGGTATTTGGAATTTTTTAGTTTTTTTTTTTTATTTGATTTTATGTGGATACAATTACTTTTTAGAATTTAGGCTGATAAAAGGTTTAAAAATTAAACACGAGTTTCATCATACATGATATTTTATGGTAAAAAAAAAGTGTTATTTAGTTATTAGGTTTTTTTTTTTTTTTTTATAATCATTTTTAGTTCAAATGTTTCTACTTACAACTGTATCAAATCCATGAGTGGTATCTTTTAGTTTTTATTTTTAATTTAAATTTTAACGGCAGCATCTATAAAAAAAAATATCGTAATATTATATTTTCTCTGTACTTTATATTTTGATGAACAATAATTATTAAATAATAATACATCTTCATTGCATAATACCATATATTTTAATGTGTTTTTTTTTTTAATTTTACTATAATATAATGGTGATAAGAGATATATAAGAGGTTTCAACTCGGTAGAGAGCAGTGGTAGCATTTATATTTCTTTTAAAATTAAGTGATTTTTTTTCTACTGATATGATTAGTTAATTGGCAATCAATAAATATTATTATCAATAATTGTGTCTAAATACGGCAACTAGAACTTCTAAAATAATAATACTGTGTAACCTAACCTAACATACAGTTGAATACTAGCAGACGTGTTTTAAACAAAATTTTTTGATATTATGTAGTTTTCCTTGTTTGTAATAACTCGCGATGCGTTAGAGTTGCACCTGTACAAATAGTTAAGTAGGTTTAATCGAAGTAAAATATTACAGTTTGTAGTTTCAGTTTAACCACTTGTTGTATACCGGTATGTTTTTATGTTACGCTTTTCACCAGCACGTTTCAAAATCGTTTTAATTCAACAGATTTGCTATTTGTAATTTGCATGTTAATCATCTAGAATATTAATACTGACAAAATTTACGATAATAGGTGAAACTCCAAATGCACTGGAAATGCTTATTCCCGTAATAGTTTTATATTTTATTAATTTTTAAAAAATATGAAATTCACATGCGCATTTTACACTAGTAGATTGTACACGTACCTATAGGTACTTACTGTAATAACATTTTTAACAATGAATCTATCTCCTCAATATTACCTCCCCTATCCTCAATAATCAATTAACTTGCGTTTTTACTGGTTGAACAGATTCGCCTTAAGTTATAGAATACCTTATACAGGGTGTCCCACAAAGATATGATCATTCCGACGTCTTGAAAAGTATTATACTATTTTCGTAATGTTTTTTTTTTTTTTTTATGTATTAAGAAACAAATAGCTCTTAAATTTTACATTATTATTATTGTTTTTCGCTTTACGAGCGTAGGGGGTGATTAGCGGAGCGCTATTCAAAACGCCTTTGCGCCAAACGATTTTTGCCATCACACAAACAATTCTCCAAATGGTACTTTCCAAGATAGATTTTATAGTGATTGTAAATTCGCGGGATATCCTGTATACGATTTTATTGAGTGTGTATGATTGTTTATTATTAATACGAAGGAGTACCGTTATATTGACGGATTGTACTATTCGAATATCGAATTGAACCGAATTATTCAGCCATTAGCCCGGTTGGATATCCAAAACGAATCTTGAACTATTGTATACTAAAATATTGAACGTGTATATGTTTACAATAAATTTGTTATATATTCGCAGAAGAATTCAATTTCCGGGAAACGTAATTTGGACATTTGGAGGGAAAAAACCGGTAGAAATGGAAAATTGGTTGAAAATAACACTATACGTTAGTTTATTTGCGTGTTTTCGAGACTTTCGTCCAGTGGATTCGTTTTACACTTCGTATTTAACAAGTCCAGCTGTAAATTTTACTTCTGAACAAGTAAGTAATAAATTATTTTAGCAATTAACATATTGAGCACCTGTTAACTCAATAGATGTAGTAAATATATGCGCACTCTGCACTCAGTAGAAAAAGTTCGAATTATTCTAAATATTTTTAAAAAAAATGCAATTGAACTATATTTTGTAGCTTAATGTTCTGCTTTTATACATACTTAGATATATTAGTTTTATATTTTTTAAAAAGTAATAAATATTATTAAATTGATTTTTTTTTACCATTTCAATTTGTTTTGGATAAAGTAATTTATTTGAATCTTTATATTTATTAGGTGTCAAGAGAAATATATCCTATTAACTCGTATGCGACTACAAGTCTAGTAGTTATTATGTTTCTTATCACAGACTATCTCCTCTACAAACCTATTGTGATGTTGGATGCGTTCAGTTCGATTATTATGTTTTTATTAGTATTGGAACCGGTCACGCTTTTCAAGTCAAAAGTAAGTCATAGTTTTAATCTTTATACGTTGAGAACACATTGATTTAAACTTCAATGTTTCATGGAAATTACAAAGAATGTGCATGTTACAACAAAGATTAATTTAATTCGCAATAAAGATGATTTTCAGACAAACATGATACAGATTTAGTTTTGAACGATTTATTGTTTGGACCTTTTATCTTACATGCCTGAATAATTTAATTTATTATTTAAGTTTTCATTGTTCAAAAGAAGCATTCATCTTTCATTCATCCAAATGAATTTATTTGGTATTTGGTCAATATTGTATGTTAACCAATCGCATTTTGTCTTAAAACAAATAGCATAAAACATAATAAAACAAATTGTGAAAAAAAAAAAATTTTATTTTAAGCCATTTTAATGGCCTAAAAATTCGTTTAATCTACCAAAAAAACGACTCAGCAATATTTGCGTTAACGTAGTACTTTTATCTATCATAAACGTAACTGAACACGTTTACTATTATGATAATAATTATTATTTGTAAACGAACGTTGAACTTAAACGTGAGTAAATATAATGCATGAACAAGTTTTTTGAAAGGAAATGTACAGAAATTGTGCAACAATAATTATTATCACAATAAATTATAATACAGTTAAGATTAGAAAAACTCATTTCCAGATTAGTATGGTTTTTTTGGGTCTTACGTCGGCTTCCGAATTGGCGTACACGTCGTACGCGTACGCAAAGATCACCGACCGGAAATTGTATCAAAAGATGACGGGCGTGATCAGAGGCTCGAATCTTTTGGGAAAATGCGTATCGTCTACGTTCTCTCAGATCGCCATCTCTTACATGCACCTCGACTACAGCTTACTTGTATATCTATCGCTGATGGGTAAACATAATATTTATCTAAAGTAATTTACGGACCATCCAGTATAACAAAAAAAAAAAAATCGATCGTGGTATGATTATGTGTCGAAGATGCTTATGTCATAGGACACCGGTTCAAGTTAGGTCCGATGAAACACGAAACCACTCCAGGTATCCAGGTACCTGTAGTACCTACATGTCAAACACGTGGTTTCTCATATTTCATAATTTTATAACTCATAACTATAAGTCATATAGCCAACAAGCCCCTTTGTGCTAACTGCTAAGCCGCTGTATCAAAGAACGAAAATATTTGGAAACTGAAATGAACAGTCGTCAAAGCCAATGGCGGTTTTATGGCTACTCTACCTTGGGCCGTGGTTTTATACAATTTTATTTTTATTTTTCAACCCTAATTAAGATAAATATAAATTTAAGTACAATTATAAAAAAAACGTGAACATGTAAACATTGATGTTAATATTCTATTCTATTAATATGATATTCAATATTGCAGTACTAGAAATTAATATTAATATTATGGGCATTATATTATTTATTAAGTTGTGAAAAAGACTTTATACTGCTGACGAATGTACAACTGTCGTGGATGGGAAATTGGGAAGAATGGGTATTTATCTGTGTCCTGTGAGTAATAATAAATTAATGCTAATGAAAAACAATTCTAAGCGAAAATCGATTAAATATGTATTGAAATACTGTGTTTTCTACGACTTTCGTCAAAATATTAACATTAGACACTTATTCGACAAAACTTCTATATGGCACTCGATATTTTTTTTTGAACACTAAGTACAATTGAAAATTAACTCCGAGTAAAATAAAATTTTCATATAATTTAGCCTAAACAATTATATCCATATCTACTCTCACTCGACCCAGACTTAAAAGTGGAATATCCCGTCAAGAGGATTGACGGAAATTAAAAATGTCAACACCAAAATGTATGTTAACTAATACTCAATCTATTTATGGAATTTTTAGTGTAGGTTGCTGTTTGAAAATCAAAAGTAGGTAGTCATTTCACCCCCAAAATTTAGGATGATAACAAATAATTTTAAAATTATTAATTATATAAGCATTGCAATTTAAAATTTTACTTTTAGCAGTATTAAGCTGAAGCAGAAAGCTGCTTGTTTCTTAAATTTCCTAAAGAAACAGATCCCGAATAAAGTTAATACTTTCTGAGATAATGAATGTTTAACGATAAAATAATTACCCAGTTTATTTGCTTCGTAAAAATAAAAATTGTATTTCTTCCGTGTTGTTACATACACCCGCGTAATGTTGTTCCAGTACGTTACTCGCAGTCATTAACTAAAAACATAGACACAATAGACTAGACTAACAACTTTTGGGCTGCTAAAATTATAAACACATCTAAAACTCACGAGGACTTTGCCCTTATAATCCTCTTTACGGGATTCTTATAATAAGCAACTAGACATTTTATTTAAAATTTTTTACACAGCAATTCATCATAATATCTACTTTAACATTATTTTGTATATACACCTGGATAGTCTGTCGAAAATCGGTATTTTTTTTCTGCTCATTAATTATAAAATACATGAATGAAATGCTTAGTCATTCCTATGAAAAAGCATATTTAATTTTTTTGGGGGTACTAATTTTAAACTTGGGTGTGCTTAAGTCCCCACAGCACTGCCCTAGTTGTACCCATGGCTAAAAATCAAAAGCGGTGAAAATAATTGAAATCGAGTAAATTACCGGGCTAGGCTTAGCCTATCATCTTACGTTAGAAACGAAGTTATATTATCTACAACGCACAAAACATGAGTATACTCCACTTGAAATCAATCCAGAACTTTCTTTCACACAAATTCCCTTTACAGATAACATGCTCTTACAAAATAGAAATGGGGCGTTGCACAACTGCTACTGCAAACCTGACAAACGTAACCCTCCCGAGACCGTTGGATTGGGTCCCGCTAACTGAACCCCGACATTGAACCACATACTCTCTCAACATCCCAAATCAATCATATCACACACACACTATTAAAGGTCGACCCAAGATTAAGTGAAGCAATGTATAAGATATTTAAAATGTTATATATCTGTACCTATGAAATTTATTTTGGAGAAAATAAATCATTATTGGGGATATATAATTAGAAAACTTGGTTAATTTATGTTACATAAATCGATATAAAGGATAGAAATAAATTTAATCGATGAATATCAAAAACTTAATGTTGTTATTTTGATAAAAGTAAAGTTAGAATATAATACGAGTTGGAACTAAACTAAGCAAATTGAATCCCGTGCGCACAAAGTTCAAGAAACACACATAACAAGTATTCATCATTTTATTTTAGACTTTATCAAAAAAATGGGTATTTCGATGATCAAACTCAAATTTGGTTTATTTTCGTTAATTTTAACAATAAACATTGAATAAAAAAATTTTAACTAAAGTATTTTATTCATAACAAATTAATTAATGTTGTACGTATTGATTTCAGGTTCAATCATGGCGTTTGTAGTAACATTTTTTTTTCCGTCTGTGCATTCAAGTGTCTATTTTTATCCCGAAAGTCCAATCTCAGCCACGAAACACAAAAATTATAAAACAATAGATGATAAATCGCACAAGGTAAATAATATATAATTGTATTTGTATGAAGTTTTCATTACAAAATAATTGTAAAAACACTAATGACAACAAATAATGCACACATATTCTACGGACCTTCGGGGGAAGAGGGATAATCACTTCATTCGCATAACCCTACCACTGAAGGAATATGTTTTTTCTAATTCGTGTATAGTATATATATATATAAAGGTATATACATTATAACCAAATGTTAAGATTTTATAAATACATTAGATTCCATGCACAGCGTGTTCTCTCGTTTTTTTTTTTTTTTAAATTATAGCGAAATTGCTTTTATTTTGGTTATTATGCCAAAGTCGAGTATATATTATGATTTATTTGTTAGTAAACAAATATTATAATTCCAGTGATATATTCACTTAAAACATTTTAAAATAATCAGTAGAAAATTAATTGTGTTTGCCGAGTAAATAGACTACATACGTAGTTTAAATTGTAAATACTGATTGAGAACATGCAAAATTAAAAATAAACAGAACACCCGCCTAATTTGTAGTTATAATTTTTAAACTCGTTTATTTTAAATAGTTTGGCATGTTAGTGACGTGCATAGGGGAAAAGGTTGTATATCCCCCCTCCCCCATTGGTATAAAAATACTTAGGAAACCAATAATCAATAGATTTAATAACGTCATCTTGAAATTATATATTTCATCTAAGTTATGAGGAAAAAATATTATTTTTCAAATACGAATTGACGTTTTGGATTCGGTTTTAAAATTCCCATTATCCGTTTGGGTACAACAAAAGTAGATCCTACAATTTATTTATGAAACGTGATTAATATTTACTAACTTCCAACCAGTTGAAAATTGCTGGGCATTGTTCGGTTATGACACATGTATTAGGTAAATTTTCAAATCGAAGACATCTGATTAAAAATATTATTCTACGCATATTTTTGTGTATTGACATTTTATTCTGAACAATATTTTCCAATTTATTAGAATTTCAATATTGCATTTGTTTTTTTCATTAAAATAATAATTATTTTACCTGTAGACGCACAAGTACACACATATTTTATTATAATATGAAGTTAAGTTTACTAACCACCGGTAAAATAGTTGTGATTCACGTATTTTAATATTCTTAAAAAATATTCATAAGTCGTTGTCTAAAAAAAAAACAATTCTTATCCATTTTTTTTTTTTTTTTTTTTGATAACCAAAATGATAAAATCGATGTGATAAAATTTAACGGTGTATGCTTTGTATATTTGGTAATGATTTCCTCCTACCCTTATCTCCAGTATATCAACTATAGCTGTGTACCATATAAATAATTATAATAAACCGTATCACATATTTTTTAGCCGCTTGTTAAGTTGTTTACAGTAATACGATGTCCAAGCGGAAACATACAAATAAAATTAAAAACCTGTTTAAATTATGAAAATGATTTACTTTCATACAAAACTGTATTTAACTGTTTTCTCTCGTTAATTCTCAATAAATAATAATGAATTTTTGTACTAATGTGCATTGATATTAATAAACAAATCGTGTTGATAATGTTAATACGGTTAAGTCTTTTACCGTCTCGATAGAACAAAATACAAGAGTGAAATATTATTGGTATTTATTAGAGAAAGAAAAATGTTGCTGTCTTTGGTACGTTAATACTGATAAAACATTTTATGTTCTTTAACTGAATACTTAATTAAGATAGGCAAGTATACCATACACTTTAATCTCTTGCAATTTTTATTAACCTTAACTACTATAATTATAACTCTAATCTATTAATCGTATATTCATAAATAGTATACATTTAAAACGTATGTTTCTGATCATTGCAGGTGATTAGGTACATAACAAAATAAACGGGTCATATGTTATACAATTAATACAATTGTTATGAACCTATATCTGTTATTCATTAAGTATTTATACTATAGGTAAGCGTAAAATTAAAAATAATATACAATTATAATTTGATTATACCTATCTGAGACCCTATAGGGATAATAAACGGTTATTTTTTTTTTTTTTTTTTTACATAAAATATTCTTTTACGAAACAATACGATTTAAATCATTTAATAAATTCGTCATATAGTTAGCCTTCATTATTCAATATGCTTAATGATGCTTACTGCAGACTATTTACGTGTAATAATATATTAATAAGTACATACGTTCACCTCCACACTACATGTAATAATATTTCTGGATAATAAAATTGAAAATACATTATAGAAAATGTGTACATTCATAACTTTAGGCGCGCTCTGTGAGATAAGATTATAACTAAAACCAAAACCTATGATAACTGACAACACCACAAGATGGTGCCAAACATATAATAAATCATTAGTATTACGTAACTTATCTAACTAAGTTATCAGCAAGCATAATCGTTTACGCGCTACTTGAAACGAATTTTTTCAGCCGAATAAAAGTGCTTGGCAATTTCACACAAGTTTCGTCTTTATTTAGTGGTCGAAAAAACAAATTTATCGTTATGTTTTATTTAAGTTCAATTTGATAGCATATTTTCATGGTGTGTGTTGACATTTTTTTTAAGCCATAATTACATACATATATTTTAATAGGTTTTAAGACAGAGAATTCTATGTTCATTCAAATTAAAATGTGCAATATAAAAATATTTTGAATACTAATCAATATCACTTACTGGGCGTTAAAACCAATCAATTGTGCCAGTTAACTTCACACGATTTACGATAATAATAAATATTTTTCATTTAACGATCTTCTCGAACCTATTATTACCAACACGATTTTTATCCGATTTCCATTGTAGCTTACATTCGAGTTTTAGTTTTATGTTTCATTGAACAAAATATATAGCATATTAAGTAGACGATAAATAATAAATAAAAATTATATAAATAAAACGATAAATAATAGTATTTGTTATGAATTTCTTACAGGTAGCAACTAAATTATATTTTGAAAAGAAATCGCCAACGCCCGTTCGGGTGGTGTTAAACCAATTGTTCTTGGAATTAAGGGACGTGTGCAATAATCCATATCTACTTAAATACGGAATATGGTTTGGCTTTGCTACGGGCATATATTTTCAGGTAAATGTGTTTGAACTATAAAATTGTATTTATCGAGAACAGTGGCATACTCAGCATTTCCAAGCGAGAGAGGATCTGAATATAACTAGTTGTACATAAAAAATAATTAAACATGTATTATTTACATGTAAACATTGATGCAATTTACCTGTATACTCCTTCAAACAATACATCCGCTGTTGGTAAACGGAATAAGGATAATATTACTGGAAGTCTATAATGCATGAATGAATCATTCAAAAACAAAAGGTCATGGGAGAAGGGCATTGTAGCAGTTCTTTGTTTTCTTTTGATTTTGTATGTTTTAAAGGTTGAAACCTAATACAGTGAAACCTGTACACAACGGATAGTTACGGGACCATAAGTAGTGTCCGTTGTAGACTGGTGTCCATAATAGACAGGTACAAGAGGTGGCGTTGCAAAAATTAAGCAAAAATTAAAACGAACGGAGGAAAATGTACAACACTATAATAGCAAGCAATACGGAATAAGCACTGAATAGTTTTTACGTTTCATACGTAAAGATGTCCTCGCAATTAACTTTATCCTTATTATCGAACATGTAATCTATCATGACCGGTATTCGAAATAGACCGACGACACTGTTGCGTGGTATGTATGGTTGTAGGTAACAATATCCGAAAAAAAAATGTCTGGCGGTAAAAATTTCTGGCTTGTACACTATAGGTGAAGCTAGATAACTAACAACAAAATCGAAGGATGGAATCTTATGTTTTTCAAATTACTTTCATATTTCCACCCACTTATTAATTGAAAAAATGCATTTGGAGCTGGGATTGACCAGTGCAAAATAGAAAAAAGGGAAAATATCAATCCAACAAAAAAAAAATGTATAACAATTTTTTGAAATCCATTTCCTTAAATTTAATTAATATTGTATAATAGAGTAGAATAATATATTTTTTAATCAATTTTATCATTGCCATTTTTATTACTTTTAAGACCAAAATTAAAACGATTATTACACCTATCAATATTATTGTTACGTATTAAAATTGTTCTTAATTTATTATTTATATTTAAAAATTATAATTATATAGGTGTTATATTTTTAATACTTCCGGACATTTTTACCGTTTTTCCCCGGACATTTTTCCTCGAACATTTTGCTAAAACCCCGGTATGTGTGTACACGTCTGCGACATATTTGATTTTGAACTAAAATAGTTGTCCGTTATCAACGTATTGGGGGAAAACATTACTGGGCACGTGCCTGTAAAAGAAAGAGTTATAGACAGGTCAAAATGTATTGGAATGCCTATCTTTTTGCCGAAACCTTATTATTTTGTCCGCCGAGAGAGGTGTACGTTATACACAGGTGTCCGTTAAGACAGGTTTCACCGTAAAACTAATTCAATAACCCAGTAGCTTTGTTCGGCGTGAAACATTTGTTACAATCGATTATATTATTAGGTTATTATGAGCTATTTTCCACACGACACACGTAACACACAATTCAATTACTATAAAATTAAGTCTGGAAATACCTACTGCCAGAATTAAAATTACTTTTCGACAGAATTACAGGTGCTGACTTACAATGATGTTTTGTACTTAAAATTGAATAACGAGGACCCGGTAAACAACAAATTATACAACGGTGGCGTCGACGCGATAGCTTTTATAACGGGTGAGTCAATGTCATTTTTACCAATGTCTGGTTTTAAACATCTAATTTGGAAATAAACAAAATAGGTTCTATATTAGAACAGATCATACAGTCTGCATAATATTTATAATATGGCTTTGAACTATTAAATTTGATATCAACAAAGAAGAGTTAAAATAGTTTTTTTTTTTAAATGAAAAATATTTTTTAAGCAATGGTTTAACGTTGCGTACGACTGATAATATCAATTAAGTTATGTAATTGTACAAATTGATTTTTTTTTTATCATGAACCAGCAATAAACTCGGTGGATTTTAAGTGAGTTTTATTTCTGTTTGTTGTAATCGTTGTGGAATCGTGGGTATAGGCTTTACTTTAAAACGGTTTTAAATTTTTTACACATACCCCAACTCCATACGCCTTGAATAATAATACTTTTCACATAGAAACCCCATTTTAAACAGAGATTCGAATAGAGAATATTTTTTTAGATTCTGAGATTCTTAATGGATGAGGAGAATGGTTTTACAATGATATTTATTTTTTTTTTCCGTGGACAACTTTTCTACCAGTAATTTTGCTCAAATTTACAATAATGAAATTTTTTCTAAAAGAAAATTTAATCTAAGGGGTACTTTAAGAAGGTCGTGTATTGATTTTCCCAGGATTTTTCCCAATAAATGGTAAAGCTTGCTTTAAAGGTAAAAATCGGGAAAAAACAGGAAAAATGATACAATATTAGACAAATATTATTAAAGAAACTGTTTAATGCATACATAATTATTTAACCAAAATATGATATATATATATATTATTGACAAAGTAACACTATCAACTGAGCTCCGCTCAGAATCGTTTTTTCGTTAGCAACAGTTAATCGTTGCTTACAGATATACATCAAATTCCCATTTATATTCTACCTGCCCAACTTTCTACTCATAATAGTGGCTACACCCGTCCCCAGAATCCTAGAACGGTTTTTTACAATTGTTGATACTTGTTATAAATAACACTCTTATCAAATTTACCATTTTAGTTTTTTTATTTTTAACCGTTTAAAATTTAGACCAGAATGGTAGAAAAGAGTTATTAATTTATTCTTTGAAAATAGACATGCAATTTATTCATGTAAAATGGTAATAAAACAAATATATATTTATATATAAATTAGTTACTAGATTTCATTGTTTAATCTTTATTTTAAATATTAAGTGTTTTTAAATTTTTGACAAAATAGAAAATACATAATATCAGACCTGTAAATGGGATCTTATCACCCCTGCAAAACATCACTTTTTGGGACATGCGTACACGTTTTTATTAAAAGTTCTAATTAGAATATTTTTTCTTTTTTTTCTTCTAGGGTCGTTCTCTTCATACTACATAGGGTTCCTGAAAGTAGAATGGCAATCGGCAAGTAACATGTTCTTCTTCATCGGTTCGTTGTTGTGTTGCACATCACTTTGCGTCTGCTATTACACATCTTCATTGAATTTGGTGTATATCATGTACATCATATACTGTTTCATATTCCAATCGATGAACGTCGTTGCAAGGTAAACCAGAACGAGTACATCTAAGTTTCAGAACTTTTTCAATATTCAGAGATTGCCTGATAGAAAAATTCAGACCGGGAACCAGGAGCCATATATTTGTTTTATGTCTACTACAAGGCTCTAGCCGAAAAAAAGATTCCCAACATTTTTTTTTTTTTTTATCATTTTGTGAAATTTGTCTTTCTTTTAAAAAAAGATTAGGGGGTTTAGACTTCTGGATGTCCCTGTAGGTACGGCTTAGAATGTCTACGTTTCAATAATTATAAAAAAAAATTCAAAAAATAATTGGTAATAAAACAGTAAATTAAAAATAAAATTATTAAAATGGTTAATACTCGTAAATAAATAAAGTAAATAAATATATACATAAAAAATGTGTATACAAAAATAAAATGATTAAATGAATGAGCGCGTCGCCTGGTGTGTAATGATATGTGTATTATACGACCGGTTTCGAATTAAAAATTCATCATCAGGTATATCACAGACAAAATATAAAACGAAATTTATATATTTATTTACTATATTTGATTAGTTTTTGCTATGGAAAAACTATTCCAAGCCAAGTTCGGTTATCAATGTTTTGAAAGGCGTAATATTTAAGATTTTCGTAAAAATTTGATACACAAATTATTGTAAAAAAAAATTCTACATTACAAACGAATATTTTTTTACCATAAACTACAATTTATACTGAATCTCCTATTAAGTTTTCCAATAATTATGTTTGTTCTATCAATTTTGACCACCGAGTAAGGATTTCGTACCTACCAAATAAAAATGATGAAAAAACTCGCAAAATTAAAACGTTTATAAATAGCACAAAAATTATCAAAATATTTTGAAAATTTTTTCCAAGTCTAGATAGTTTTCGTCAATAGTTTTCTGTTTAAATTTCAAGTCTCTATGAAAAATTTAACTGAATAAAGCAAAATTAGACATAATAAATTATTTCGTACATTTTATCGTGTTTTCCCGGTTTTACCGTGAACCCTAGTATATGTATTTACGTATTTTACAAAATATTTCATTTTTTTTTTTCAGATCTGAAACAGCTAAACATTTAAAGCACGAAAGTTTCGCCTTCATTTTTGGTGTCGCCTATTTCATCTCTCTAGTCATTTCGAGTGCACTGACATATTTATTCGTTCAGGGAACTATTTACGCGATGCCAGTCAACGTACAAGTAAATATTTTAAAATTCATATATTTCCATTTTTTTTTTTTTTTTTTTGTTTTTACGGACCTAAAAATTATACATCAACGTATAATTTATTTTTGGTCTTCGGACATATTTTTTTCCCCTTAGACATTATTTTTTCTTCCGATATTATTTCCTAAATCCATATTACGGGGTTTTAGTAAATTTACATCACCGCCTGCTGCAGCAAAGGTATACTAATGATAAATTATCGTGTTCATGGGTTTGATTGTAAGAATAATAAAATATCACATCATCATGAACATGAGGCGGTAATATTATATTTCCGAACGGGCATTTTGTCTCGGCTATTGGATACGCTAACGAAATAAATATGATAATTTTTGAAACTGTCTATTTCTAAATACCAATGTTTTTCAATAATTTTTTAAGAAATTATAACAATACGATCTCGTTTTTCACCGGGTATTTGTGCGTATTGTCCATTTGGCGATAGATTCTAACCAAACCAATAAATGTCAAAAGTCAAATATTTCTATTGCGTTTGATTTGCAAAAAAAAAAAAAAGAATAATAATAATATGTGATCTGGATTCTGTAGGGTACTCGTGTATTATTCGCAATACTGTTATAATATTATGGGAAAGGGTATTTTGGAAACGGTTTGAGATTCATTGACGGCATTAGATCGTACCTACCATGGCAACACTCCTAGAACACGAAAAAAGTCGGAATTTATTCAATATTATATTACTGTTATGCACGTAGACTTGACTGGAGTCTCTGATTTCGGTGCGTAATGCGTAATAAACGTATTATATAACATTAAACACTAACAGATATTTTGATTATGATCTTATACTGAAATATGTAGGTATTTTGAAGCAGAAAATTATATTTTTTTTTATGTACGTTTATGCTTAAACAACAAAAATAAATATTAATGAATATATAATAATATATTGTATTTAATTTTTATTATTACTCGATTTTCTTTCGTGTACACGTGTATAACAGTCGTTTTTTAATACTGATGTGGCGTAATGGATTTTTGTACTATATGAACACTTTGAAGTTGTAGCCGTTAAACGTTTTCTTTCGAATTAAAAGCAATAAAATGTATTAAATTCAAAGTCAACCAAACCAAATCTGTTTACCTATCTACATGCATCTGGATTTTAAAATGTCATGGAGGTTCACTGTTTTAGATAACCATATACAGTTTTATCAGATATATTTCCCATAGCCCCGGCTTGTCAATCTCACGGGGGCCCCCGAGCCCCCTCTAAATGGCGCTCCTTCCTACATTTTTTCTTAAAAAATTTCTTATTTAATAAACAAATAAAAATACTGTTATCAACATAGTTTTAGTTATAGACTAATCATTATTATTAGCTCGTTTAATATATTTAACGCAATATAAATTTGTTGTTACGTTACCGAGTTAAATTTCCGAAGATAACCAAAGGAAATTTGTTAATTTATTTTTATGATTATTATTTTTACAGTTTTTGTTCTACGGATTGATAAACGGAGGACTTGCACTTTGGTATTTATTTAGTATATTAATATCCAAATGAACGATTAAGTGATAACTTTTACAATGTGATTAAAATAATAGTTATAGTTAATAATATTTATTTTGTATACAGTACTTTAACATTTGTATAATGTTTGCATTATTATTATTATTGTTATAATTATTATTATTATTATATGCATCAACGCACAAACTGTTTTCCTAGGTTATGGAAATTATTAGTTAATTTTTAAATAAACGTATAATTGAATAGGATTTTATTTTCGTCTTTAATTTCCAAATGATATTTTATCATTGGAATTATTTATTATTATTAAATTACGTGATTAGTTAATATACAATATAATATACATGTGAAAAAACACGAATAGACGAATTTCCAATTTATTTGAAGAAATAATAAACATATACATATATATATATACGTATATGTAGACTAACTTCTATATATTAACAGTTAAAACCTGAAATTCGTCAAAACTAGTTTCCACAAATCCCTTTAGTAAATTCTAGTTTTTACTAGTTAAAACTAAAATTAACTACAGATTTTAATAAGTCAGTCAAAACTAATTTTTACTGAAACGCATGTATTCCAACCTGTAAAACATACCTAAAACATCTATAAATATTTCCCCATAAATTCGACTGGCTGGTTATCAAATCAATTAACATAACTTTAACCAGTCGTCCATCAAATCACTTTTAGATATGATAACTTCGACCGATTATACCTAATAGATAATAATTCTGCTGCCGTAGCTTTTGTCCCCGTGTTTTCAGTTTTGCCAGTTCGTTTGTCTTCACTGTAGTCATTGTACCTACGTGTGTGTCTGTCTGGCGCAACTAGTTTAAAGTATCAAAATCAAAATTACGGATTTTCAATAGATAATTCTAGTTTTCACCAATATATTTCAAACAAAACTAGTTCTAACTGAACAAAAATATGTTAAATATAATTTTACCGGTGAAGGTCTAAGTTAATTTTAGTTTTAACTAATCAAAATTAGAATTGACTAAAAGGATTTGTGGAAACTATTTTTAACTAGTTTAAACTAAAAGTAATGGATTTCTGGTTTTAACTGTAACATATATATTTAAATTATTAGTAAAATTATCCGGCTATGCAAGGGTACAGTAAGACGAAAGTGGGTCTATTTTAAGGGATTCAGTATAGGTAATATTTAATACACTTGAATGTATGCTGTCACGCTTAATGCGTAGCGTATATTATATACCGAATCACAAAAAGTTATACTTGAATTTATTATAACAGAATGCATAATGATAATATTATGGAATGAATATTATTGTGCACGGTGTAAGAATTATTAATATTTTGTATAGTGGAGACTGTCATGCAAAATAATGGTGTATCGATTTTAAAGCTATAAACCACCCACCCACTCTAACACAAAAGTTGTATGGACTATTAGGTAACTAATATGTACAGTACACACTCATAACACATCCTTTAATAGTATTTTACTCCATATATTGTATAACTTTATAAAAGTCATTCATCTACCATAACCACCCATCAACCCACCCAATTTCAAAAATGTATCGAAAGTTCCACATTTAGTATGGGATAGCCGCCACTGGTTTTAAAAATCATTACTAGCAAAAAAACGCTTTTTAAAAGAGCAGCTCACTATCCCAGTTAAGCAGTTAATAAAAATAAATAACAACAAATCATAAAGTTATCAGAATAATTTAAACATTTTATCGCGTTCATAATAGGCTATTTTAAACATTTTAAACCGACCAACTACAAAAATATTTTTTACTTGATTTGTTAGTAATTTTAATTTTATTGTGTTGTCTTAATCAAATTTTTTTTTAAAAGAATAACACGCGCAAATTTGAAACCAGTTTCATTTAAAATTTTAGTAAGTCGGTTAATGGTTTTTTTGTAAACAAAATTGTACTATTATTTGTTTTCAGTTCTATACAAAATATATATGTCTTCGACAAACAGAGTGTAGAGTACTGGGTTATTTTTATTTTTTAATGTTAAGTGTGATATCATTTATTTCTGTTAGAAAATATATTATTGATAGGTTCAACCCTTCTGGAATGTCGTTTTCTTGAACAAATATTTTTATTAGTAGTTTGCCTAATTTAAATTATAACATTCTTTTGTTTAAACATTGTCAATGAATTGTATCATATGGTCATTATTTAGTATTTATTGGAATTTTTAATTTCGTCTGTAACTTCATGACCTGGAATCAAACGCTTTGATTCCATTGAATTTGTATTTAAAACATGTTGAATATATTTTTTGATTTTTGTGAAATAAATTATCGAATGTTGTTAACGAAAACAACTTAATTTTTTACTATCTATACTTTGTGTTTCCTTTTAAAGGTAACACGAAATATTCAGTCCAGTGATCTCAGATTGATATAGAATTTTTGAGAAGAGATAGGGAATACCTAAATACACATATGTTGATGATTTTCAAATTTGTATAACTTTCAGTGTGTGCATGCGCAATACAATTTGTATTTTTTTTAAATTATCGACAGGTATTTTTAATTCTAAATTCCGAATTTTTTTTAAGTTATTTTGACCTCTTAACCATGAATCTAAAACCAAAATTATCTGAATAATAACAAGAAAATGTTTTAATTTATATCATTGAATTTTTCTACAATTATCCTATGATTTTACAAATTTCCATGCGATTCCGCCTTAGTCAAATAAAGTCTTAAAAATAATTTAATTTAATTTAATGTTCCAAAATATATTATAAGTGAATATAAATAAGCGGAATTACTTTTATTGTAAATCTCATATGAATCTAATGTCAGTGGAATGAAATATTTCTTGTTACATTTAAGAGAAATATTTTTCTGGTGAAAATTCGTTTTTTTCTAACTTTAGTATAAAGACAATGATTTCGACATGTTCTCTAGTTTAAGACATTATTCAGTTTTCCATATTTTATTATAAATCTGTAGTAACAGTTTTAGTCTATTTTTCCAGGATGATATGTATGAAAGAGTGAGATATTATTTTCGATTTTGTTTTTTCATTGTAATTTGGTTAAAAATAATCATAAAGACTCGACATTTGTACAGAAAACTTATGATATTACTTTTAAATATGGCCATATTTTCAAAACATTCCGCCAATGTGTCCCCTTTTCATACTAAAATTAAAAATAATGAATACAATTTATAATTAATTATCAATAAAAACACTAAGCAAAATACGATGTTAGGAGCCAATTCAATATGAAATTCACGAGAGCTAAATCAATTGTCCCGCAATGTTCGAGTCCAAACAAATACTACTGACATCTATGAATACTATACATTCTTCACGAGGTAAAAGTACTATTTAGTAATGCCTGTTCGTGTTTTTTTTTTTTCAATAACTTATCTTCGCTTACCTAAATGTCCAATCGTCTCTTTATTACTCTCCTTGAACGTAGAATGTATAGTTGGATATTCTTGACTGATTTTGATCGATGACATCATTTCAGTGTATTTCATAAATAAAAGTGATTGTATTATGATCTATAATTAAGCACCAACATACATATGTTAGAAAGATAGATTTATACTTAGTTACAATTAAACAAAATAAAATAATAATAGAATGCGAACAAATTTGTGTCCAAAAGCCTGAGCTTGTGGGGAGACAAGAGTCCATTATGTTTCTTAAATTTATGTAAACTTATCAATGCTGCTCAAATATTTAAATACAAACAAAAATAAAAGTAAAAATAATAACAACAATGTGGTATACAATTCAATGTTAAAAACAAAATATAAATTATAAGAAGATTTAATGTACTGCAAAAAGTAAATATAACTAATTTATTAGTTACTATTCAATTTGGTACATTTTTACTTTATAAATAACATATTTTATATTTATGTTATCAAAACTATAATGTTTATTGTCATATTCAAACAAACACTTACCGATATACATATGTTAAATCTTAGATACGTTCATACGAGTAAGATATGTTTTACACGATTTTGATACAAATTAATTGTACTCGTACACACAACATATAAATAAAACCAACAGTAGAATATTTTTCACCCGGAAACCGTAATGAATATTCGTAAAAACCACGTTCTTTGTATTTGACTTCACAATTTAGCAAAACTGGTTTAGCCGGAAAAAAAACATACTTTTTAATAACATCCAGTATACCTCATATTATGTTAGGTAGCCACTGTCTGGTATCGAGTAGTGGTAATTACAGTAAATATTAATAATAATTATATTGTTCATATACAAGTGTGTTGGGAGTAATAATCTTAATGATACGATATTTCTTACGATACTTATTACGTTCAGCAACCTCTTATTTTGTACATTTATAAATCTATCTATCGGCCGTACATAAGTATAAAAAAACTAAAACTATAGGGGAAAACAACAGGAAAAATTAAATTAAATTCAAAAAAAAAAAAAAATGTTTATTCAGTGTATTTCTGCGTGATATTGTGTCTCGTATAAAGAAATAATTTATTAGGCATCCGATATTTGATTTTCATAAAAAAAACCAATACACAATATACAATTAATAGATATTCTTAGTATTTTTTTACGGGAAGGATGTGATGGCTGATGTACTCCTTTGGCTATTTTTCCGAGATTAGTTTTCGGTATTTATAAGATGGTTACATTGTTATTTTTTTCCAAATTGTCTCCGATCAAATCAATATCATCTGCTAAAATCTGCACCATAATACCTCCTCTCAGTTGTTGTCATCATGTACGTTCGAGATAGGACAATCAGTTTGAGTCTTGGTTTGAACTCATTATATTAATTGACATAATTTTACACCGACTATCGACCTGACACAAACCCATTTGTCACATTTGACAGGTAGAGGTACCGTGAGAATATGTTTATCCCATAAGGAGATGACATGAGTGCTGATATTATTTAAAATTGCTATTGTTTTTTGATATCACGAAATACCTATTTGTTTACTTGGTTAATAATCGTGGCATTTAAACTAGTTTATAGATTGACGGGGTAATGACTGCTGTAGGTATGATAATCCATCGGATATCGGTAAAAAAAAAAAAAAACCCATATTATTTTGGTGGGATGGGATCAATGAAAAAATTAAGGTTGAATTTAATAATAATCACGTATTAACCTTGGAAGGAACACATAATTATTTATTTTGCGGTGAAGCTACGAGTGGATCATCAATCAACGACTATAATATTAAAAATATTTTATAAATACTTAAGATTTATAAGCTATATAAAAATGTAACCTTTAATGGGATTTATACATTTTGTATCAAAATTGTAAATTGTAAATTGTATTAAAATATTATCTATATTTGGTCGTAATACCTGTCTCCAGCACTTGTAGCTTTCAGCACCACTGATCCGTAAAACAATTTAAGTACCTAACTGTATGGTAGCATTTTATTTTAATAAACATTGTTTATAATCAAATTTATTCACATTTATGATAAACACGTTCTTGGTATTCAGTAAATTTAATAATTATTATCGATAATTTCGACACATTTCTTAACAAATAATTTAAATTCATCTTAAATAATGGTATCAATTTAATATTTGCCTATGTTGTACTCATTCATAAACATATATATAAATTAGTTGTCCTACCTGCCGTAGCCCTACTAAAAGAAAAACGGTGAAAATAATATGTAATTCAAAATCTGATATCGTTAAAAAATATTTTTTCATTTTACTATAAACTACTATATTTTTTTTTGCTCTTTTGACTAGATTGATTTTAATGCAAAATACAGTTGATTATAGTCAAGTGGGTACCATCGTTATAGTTATTATTCTCTGAAATCGAAAACAAAATCATTTTTTTCAGGGTATATGTACTGTTTGCAAAATATTGTATATATAATATTATAGGTACATATTTGACTAAATAGGTAGTATGCTTGAAGATTAGAGTATCCTCAATACTATTCGCGGGTTCTCCTCAAGGAAAATATGAAATAATAGCAATAATTATTAACGTTCAAATTGGTTACAATTTAGTCATTTTTCTAAGGGGGCACTAAAATACTTTATTAAATAAAGTAATTAGTTAACGTGTGGATATAAGCAAACCCCTCCGCTGAATAACCAATTCATATCTTTTAATATAGGTACTGTGTGCACTCAAAACTGGTTTTCCATTAGGTACGAAATAACATAACGATTGAAACTCATATTGCATAGACATAAATTGCGTTTAGTGTTTGGTAGCCGATAGTCCAGTGTACCAGTGTACTCTGCTTTGCGATGATCGTCACCAGTTTACCGGGGGTCACATGGATTACATGCACGTACTGTTTATGTTTCGTTATCATCAATAACTGTAAGTCATTCGATAATTATTTCAGTTTATAATAAATTGTATTTTTTCTTATCGATATTATAGTTCATAGTAGATAATAGAGCTATACAACGACTATTATTTTATAGTACATTTACACAAAAATAGAATGAAAGGCAGAAACTTTATAACGACGAACTCGGCGCATTTCACAACACCATTACCTATGAAGTACCGGTAATTACTCAAAAATAGAACACTGCATTATAGGTTTTTAGAATTAAAATTTTAAAAAAGACGGGCATATTTCGCACGTGGGTGGGCCACTGTTGTAGGTGAGAAGTTTGGGAGGTAGTAGGGAAGGAAATTTAATGTATATCAGTACGCAATGAATAACCATTGCTTCCGAAAAAACCATATTGAACGGAATTCAGTTGATAATGTTGCTTTGTCAACAATATACAGTGTGTCCCAACATGTTCGACGGATTTTTCTAGTGCTGTTAACATTAAATTTTTTTCGATCGATTTGGAAAAAATTAAATTTTTATTTTCATAGCCTTAAACACAAAACAAAACTAACTTTTTATTTATTCACTTGAGAAAATTTTCAATATAGTGATTTCGTAAAAAATAATTATTCTTATTATTTTAATATTTTATACATTCATATCCGATTAATATAGTTTCTTAATTATAGCCGTTTTAATTTCTAGAAAATAGGCGTGAAAACAATTAATATTCAATAAAATATGCGATAAAATATGAGCATGGTAACACTTTACTATTAAAGGTTCATTTTAGAAAAAAATGCTATTATTGTAAATCAGAGCAAAATTGCTGGTAGAAAATTGTCCATAAAAAATTAATTCATTGTAATTCATAGGTATTGCAAGATGGGGGAGAAAAATGTTTACAAATTTAAAATCAAATTACAATAGTTTTAAATATTTAAAATCAAAAAAAAATTAAAATTGTTTATCTAAAATAAAGTCGTACGAGTCAAAGTTTCTTAGAAAAAAAAATATGACTAAAAATAACAAATTTGAACATTGTTTTAACCACGCAGGGCAGTAGCTAGGATAAACATAAAATGATCGTAAACAATTAATCGCACGACAATTTACCGCAAATAATTTATCGTAAGATAATTGATCGTAATGGAAACTTACCCCATGAAAAGTGATCGCAAATGAATGTAATTTATGCCAGAACAGAAAATATTTTTCTTCCCATTTAAACAGATTTAGGACTGTCTGTAACTTATTAATTAATTACAGGTATGGTTAAAAATGTTAAATCTAAAAGTTAAACCTGCAATTGAATATTATATGTAATACCATGAAGAAAATCGTCAATATTTGTGTTAGTGTTATAATTGGTACATATTTGTTTTTATTTTAACTGCTCTACTTTGGTGAATTTTTTTCTAGTAGGTTTGTTATCCCTACATGCTGTTCAACTTTAAATCTATTAATGCATTATTTTCTTTTTTTTGATGTATCTATGAAACGCAAAATGTATGGATGTTTACTATTTATAAATGCAAATAGGGGGTGCTACTGACCAAACCTAACGACAAACAATTTTGAGCGATGTTCGGTTGTACATGTTTTGAAAGGCCGTAATATTTACGATTAAGAAATAATACAGTTCGTAAATTTTCCTTATTATTCCAACGTCTTTTCCCATTTATTTTGTTAGCACCTGAGAACATCAATAAACGTTCTCCCTAAAAAATTATCATTTGAGTTCAATTTCCCTTGAGAAAAAATGCTAAATTTGAAAATCGGCCCAAAATTTACGGTAGAAATGTTGTTCACAGAAAAAAAAAAACACCGTTGAAAAACCAATACATTCATCCCACTGTTCAGAATATAAAATCATACACAAGGAACAACGAATTGGGCAGGTTTGCTAAACACCACATTAACTGTTTGACTGTCAAGCGGCCGCGGCGGCCATTTATCCACATCAATTCCAGAAAATATTTGAATTTCGACTGCTATAAACAACCATTACACACGCGCAATACGCGGCCGCTGGTTACCAAATATTTCATTTAGATTCTTATTTTATCAGCACTGTACCTGTGTATGTACAATTGAGTTATTCATTGAACTGCATCGTTACTCGCCTTACAATATTCCGTACCTATATTATTTAAGACCCGTCAAATTACAATAATATTTCCATTACCTACTTATATTGAAATATCAACAATGACAAATGTTTATCTGTGCAACAATGTTAATATAATTAACAGATATATACTATTATACTGTGTATGATTATTTATATATAGCTAAATTTTATTTGTACAATATAAAAGGTCAGATTCGTCTATTTGTCCGTAATGACTTTTTTTATTACAGTTCGAATTGTGGAACCACGGTCGAAATTGGAGTTAAGTACAAGTATCAAAACTAAAAGAGTACAATATCTTCAAAGGTCGTGGGTAGTTTTTAAAAAAAATGTAATAAACACAAATTGAAGCCGCCTTAGTTTTTTTTATTTGGGGTTAAACTCTAATTTCAGTTTAAACGACACAATTTATGTTCTAAGTAATACGATTTTACTATGTCGTAAGTTAATAAGATGAATGCGACATGTGCGATTATAATATCCTCCTAACTACAAAATTGTAGATGTAACCATGCACGTCCCACGTATTTGTGATTTATCCTTTGTCATAATTACCACTGTAATTTGGTGTCATTTTACACCCAGTTGTCTAAATTGTAAATGTACATAAAGTGTGTATTGGTCGTTACAGCCCCTTTTATCAGATTAGCGCGATTGACGTGCAATAAATTACCATCAGTAAGTTTTCAATAATTTAATATAATTTATATTCAGTCCATCTATAAAATAGTTCACAATTTGTGTTTGTAATAACAAATAATGATTATTTCAATACAACCATTGCTCAAATTTTGGTTTCATTAAAATGTATACATAAAAATCTGTTTCCATAAAGATTTTCAGTATTTAAATATAGGAGCATTAGCAATTTTAAACATTTTAATGATCACTATAACCGGTCACATAATCTTAAATTACTAAAATCATCCACATCATTGGATATCACCATTCACCATCGTCTTTGTATCAAACATTAAACAATATGATGAAACCCATACTTTTTTAATAAAATGAAATAAAAATAATAATTACAACCAGTGGACTTAGTTTTTTTAGTCATAATATCTATTATAATAAATAACGGATTTTAATTTTCTGTGTTCAATCAAAATCAACCGAGATGATGTGTTTTTTTATAGACATAAGTTCAAGAATTAGGCGTGGTAAAATTATCTATTCTTATGACTTTAGGTACATCCATGAACCAAGGTAATTATGGCCATAGATTTTTGACAAAATAATTTTTCATTGCATTCACTTGAATTGTAATTGCGAGTCCTTGACCTGTATATGTGAAACAAGACAAACATACGTGTGTTGTAATTGTTTTCCGTTGCATATATATTATAAAATGTTTATGAGTAGATTATAGTTTAAAGTTCGATCATGTTAATAAACATGAGTATATTGAAAGGAAAGTTGGTATCTTATTATTTCTTTCTGTATCAACTAACAATGCATATTGCACGTAGATATAATATGTATACAACATCATAATTTATAATAAAATAAAAGTGAATAAATGTATAAACATAGTGAGCATTAACAAATAAATAATTATAAATTGTAAATAAAGTCTATGGAAATAATAATTATTAACTTTATCATCTTTATACACTTAAGCGTACAATACAAATACATTATTATTATTTACTCAAATATCTTAATATTATTACTGAACTGTTTTGTTGTGCTTTCATTAGAATTTTAATTAATATGCTGATGATTCAGAATATGTTTATATTTTAATATGAATTAATTGAATTACAGATCATCAAATACAATCGCATGCTGTTGAGATAAAAACTGATATAAAAAAAGGTTGGTACAACAAATCATGTTTATTTATATTTTATTACGGTAAAATAAGGAATATTTTGAATATTGTTTAAATCCCTGGGGCTTCAACACATTATTCAGCCAGAGTTATGGCTATAAGTGGAACTTGTGTTATAAATAAAAATTTTATGACGAAAAAAAAAGCAAAAAACCGAAAAAAACATCGACGCTATATTAAAAATATAGTGGTTCCATCAATCTATCGGTGGGGGGGGATTAGAAGAGGACTGTTCACTTCTAAAAATTCTTTGATATTCATATTTAACATATTTAAAGAGTGTACTAAAAGAAGTGAAAAAGTTAGGTCTCCATCAGAAAATCTCCACTCTATTGAGGATATTAATGACTTCAAATAAAGAATTAGCAGTGACCTCATCCAAAATCTTGCTAAATTTAATGCTGGAGGATTCAAACGATATCTTCTGACGATTAATCCTAGAAAAATTAAGTTCTGCTCCTATATTCTCAGCTGTTATGTTTGCAGCAATTCATTTTCGTGTAAGCGTTTACACGGTGATTTTTCCCTATGCCCACTATTTTTTTGATTTAATTTGAGCATTCCAGTAAATCCAGATTTTTTAATATAAAACGTAAACTATCGATATAAAATATAGAATTTAGTTTGAGGTGCAAGAGGAGAGAAGTATACCCATGAAAATTGGTAAAACCTAAGATTTAACGGTAGATCTTAGTTTTTACCGGCAAATATCTATCGCACGAGATTATTGTTATTTTGCATATAGCTATTTTACTTAATATTCTATTACGAGAACATCGAAATAGTCACTTACCTCGGTATTCTGCTTAAAGTTAACAAGAAGATCGTTGCTCAAAATGGAAGGAGCAAAATTTAAGGATGCAATGTTTCGATGAATCGTTACAATATATTTAAGTAGGTTTTCTAACTGTTTTGTCACCAAGTCTACAATTCTGAGACGTCGGGTAGTTAAGAAGTGATGACAAACGAATCGTTTAGTGTAATGATTCGCTAACTAACGTATCTTTGCATAGCCAGTGACTATTTTCGTACTGACACGTACGGTGCCTTACTAATAATTTGAATTGACGTATGCCGTATTTGTGTGACAACACTGTTTAACAGATGTTATTTGTAGTGGAACTCGTAATTGTACCTACTAATTTATTTTACAAATATTGAATGTATTTTTTTACTAATATTACATTTTTATTTTACTTATTTCGTAGAAAATTCAGAAAAAGAGCCAAATTTCTGGAAAGAATGGAATGTTTACATAGAAAAAGTTCAAAAAAATAAAGGTAATTAAAATAATTGTTGAAGGCCCATTGTTGTTGGCAGTGTTGTAAAGTACTTCAGTAGAAGTATTCAGATAATTTTTAATTATTCAAATACGTATTTTAAATACATTTGAAAAAATTGCTTTGGCAGAATATTTGAATGCTTTATTTGGAAGTATCCAATTTTAAAATAAAATACTATTTTTAAATACTTTTTTCATCGTACTGAATATTTAGAGATACAAATTTAAATAATATAATACAAATTTTAAAACAATTATATTTTTATTTGTATTTCATAGCATTTTACGTATATCATAATGTGTATAATCAGTTGATTTTTTATATTTCTTGACAAAAAATATACTCGTTTGTCTGGACTCTGGACTACAACTATAAGATTACGTATAACCTAAATATTTATAATCATAAGAGTTCTAATGTCCCAAGGCCTTTATCAATTATATTTGGGGTCCAACTATACTTATTTCACATCATTAATAAATTTAATCTCAAAAATGTTTAGGTGCAGTCACAAACGAACAATCCAGTAAGCCAGTGTCATTATTGACTGGAAATCCTCCTGTCAATAATAATACCAATGGAGATAATGGTAAAGATCGTTTCAATTGTAAAACTGTAACTTTACTTTGTTTGTACATGCAGGTAATTTACATGAAGGTAATTGTTTAATTTAAATTACAGATGGTGTGGAAACTCAATGGAGTGCATACCACAAAAAAATTGAAAATAATAATGGTATACCAATAAAATTCTATTCAAAACAATAATTTATTTTATTTTTTTCTCTCGCTTATTTTGGGATAATACAAATTCCAGGTTGATTTGAATAAAGTGTAGTAATTATTTAACTTAGAATTTTTAGAAATCCAAGTCAGTGTTATGAACAATACGGTAACCCAGTGTCTTTATTGACTGGAAGTCCACCTGTCAATAATAATACCAATGCAGATGATGGTAAATATCGTTCAAATTGTGTAACTGTAAACTTTATTTTGTATGTACATGAAGGTAATTTTTTAATTCAAATTGGTTTAAATTTAATTACAGATGATGTAGAATCTCAATGGAGTTCATACCACAAAAAAATTGAAAATAATAATGGTATACCAATTAAACCATACATAAATACTTAGAATACTTATTTGCCTAACATAAATAATTTCGTTTAGGAACCGCCACTATTGAAGAGTCCACTGCAGTGCTACCTGCAAAAGGTAATGGTTTATTTCTAAATAAATGTAAACAAAATATTATAGTATGCTACTAATATATTACTGTAGTAGAATAAAAAGTAAGAGTACTAAAGTAATAAGGTAGAATAAGGTAGTGTACTAAAAAGTAATATAATTTGGAAATATTTTATGGTATGAAAATGAAAAGAAAATAGTTTAAGGGATTTTTAAATTATGGTTATATTAAATATACTTATTGCAGATAAAATTTAATTCTTCTCGGACCAGAACAAATTTTAACTCTTCGTGTATCTATTTATGGCATTGTTGAAATGTTATAAGTTTTATTTTGAACGCAAAATATAAAATACAAATGTTCCACCAATTTAATTGTATTTAAATTATAAGGTGTAAAGAAAATGTTTAAAATGGAAAATACTCGTAAGTAAATATATAGATAAAAAATGTATTATTACTTGTCATTATACTCTGGGCGACGCATTTATTCATTAATTTTTTTTTTATTTTAATACATATTTATATATTAATTTTCTATATTTAATCATATAGTTTTGTGTATATTATGCATAATGATGTATACTTTGTTGCAGTTATCATTTCTCCAGCATCACCTGTTATTCTTACCAATAATAATAATGTCGATAAAGGTAAATTAATAGTTTATTAATACTAAGCAGAGCTACGAATATGTATTAGTTTTACAATAATGTTTATTTTTATTTATCTTTTTTTTTTTTTTTTGAACAACTACAATACTATAATTCTACAATAAATTTTGCTCTGATTTTTAAATGCAGCAGCGTTTTATTTTTACTTTTACACGGGTTTTCATAATAATTGGAAAAAATCGGGAAAAGACGTAAGAAAACTAGGGAAAATGTACGAACTGTATTATTTCCAAATCATAAATATTACGGCATTTCACAAATTATATAACCGAACTCCGCTCAAAATCGTTTTTCGTTAGCAATGGTTAATCTTTGTACACAGATATACATTAAATTTCCCTTCCACCTTTCTAACTTTTCACCTACAACAGTACCTTACCTATCGTATGGAGTATTTCTGTATTTTTTTTAAAATTATTATTGGTTTAGAGTTTTTAATTTATTTTATGTTCTGCAATATTGGTATTTGTATATATATTGATCTATTTTAAGGGAGTTTGACTGTAAATTTTCTGGTTGTTTATTTTATTGTACTATAATAGTTTTCTAGTTTTTTTTTTTCTTTTCAACATAAAGTTTTATTTTACGAATTTGAATGAATTTATTTTGGTTATATTTATCATATTAAATATATATTTTAAAGGCCTTAATATTTAAGATTTCAGTCGAAATTTGATTTTAAAACTTATAAAAAAAAAAAAAAAAAAATACTACATTACACAAAATTGTCACAAAATGGTAATTTTTTTACATTAAGTACGACTTATAAATTCAGTTTTGTAACTAGAACTTCTAGAACTTCTAATGCCCGTAGCAAAATATTTCACATGAAGGGATTAAAAATTGGAGCCAAGTGCAAAATCCATGTTGAGGCTCAATGTGTTAATTGATTGGAGTAAAAGAAAAAAGTCAATCGCATTTTTTTTTTTTTTTTTTTTATTCACCTGATTTGGGGCTTCTAGAGGTCATGGGCCCGTGTCTCATTGCCCGTTCTACCACCATATTGATACGTCACTGCTTATAGGAAACCGCTTGTCCAATTTTCAATCATTTCAGTTTAGTCTAAACAATTTTATCCACAGAGTATCTACCAACAAAAAATTACGTAAAATCTCGCAAATTTAAGTGTCTTAATACATCAAAAATGGCTTTGTTGACAATTTTTTGAAAATATTAACACGTTTAGAAAAATCAAACATAAGTTTTGTCAGTCGCTATATTATATTTAAAGGAACGTAATCGACCAATTGTCATTTTTCAATTAAAGTAATATTTCTGGTAGAAAACATAAGTTGTAAAAATTAATATCAATGAAAACAGTAACTTCGTACCGTACCGTAAATATTTGCAGTTATTACTTTAATTTTCTTTCGGGTTTTTTCCCAATTATTTTTCAAACCCTCTAGAAATCAAAAAAATGACCTTCCGAATGCCCCAACTTTACTCGGGTTATCGAGAAAATGCTACTCCCTGGTGCATCTACCGACACATGACAGCGTCAGGTTTAGTGAGAATGCAAGAGAACGGACGAGTTTTGGTCACTGCCCAGTAGTGTTCTCTTGATGGCTCGAGTATAGATAAAAATACTTAAATATTAAAGTGGTAAAATAAAAAATATAAAAAACATCGTAGTAAAACCAATAGATCTCTACGTTATGCTCCGAATTTAACATGATTATCTAATAATACCTACAATGTGCAATACACGCAATTTTAAAAAATCATCATGCATTATTTTAATTATTTACAGGTAAAATGGAAGTAGCAAATATCACTTCAATCAATGATAATACAATAACCGGTAAAATGTTTTTTTTTTTTTTTTATCAAAATTATAGAAAAATACATAAATAATATCTTTAAATTGCCATAATTTGTTTATAACATTAATTTTGTTTATTTAGTAAACCTCTCTTCTAACAAAACTAACAATTTTATCTACTTATTGCTTATTACCTAAATTATTATTTTATACGGGTAAATTATTTCGTATCTTCTTCTTCTTTTTCGCCATTATTCCAAATATTTGGGGCCAGTCACAATTTCCACTTAACACGATCTCCCATCTCGCATACACCGGTTGTCCAACCGTATATCACATCCAGTTAACTCTTTTTTGGTTTTTATCTCTGCCTCTTATTGTCTTCATTTTTTTAATTACAATTCTTACTATTTCAAATTCCTCTTTCTCCGTGATATATCCAAATTCTTTCTGTCTATTTTATCTCTTTTTGCCTAATAGTGAAGCCACGCCTAAGCTACCTTTTATGTATTTTACTCTCATCTCATCTTTACTCGTCACTCCACTCCTTAAACTAATGTCTACTAATCATAATATCTCTCTACTACACTATTTTATTTTTCTGTCTACTATCCAAAAATCCAAATCATACAACATATTTAGTCTCACCAACATTTTCTAGAACTTAACTTTAAGTTTCTTTGGAATTCTCTCGTCACATAAATAAACCTGAAGTGTCTCTCTTATTTAGAATTCTTAATACTGCTTGTATATACATAATTTTATACCTTTTGTCGACCTGACACAACCCCATTTGTCGCCTCTTACAACAGGTAGAGGTGACTGAGATTGCTTTTAATGTATTAATAAAATTACCCTATACCTTATATCATCCAAACCTTTCACTCACTGCAGTGGCCCAACTATTAACTTCCGACTTTTTAATTACGTGTTCATATGTATCTATTTTTAGATGTCGTCAAAAATTATTTAGAAGAATATTTTGGAAAAATTGTTAAGAAAAGTGGTAAATAACATGATAGATATTAATGCATAATAATATTATCTGTATATGATTTATTTATGTTTTTGAAAATATTTTCAGATAAAATTGAAATATCTGTGCTTTTGCCTCTCATAAAAAATCAAGGAAACGGTAGGTAACATTAATATAATTTATATTTAGTTACACATTATTTTATTACAATGCAACAATTTCTTTGAATATATCAATTAAGTATGATTCTGTTATATAAATCGCTATATTTGTAGATGACGAGAACCATTACACCATTCAGATTGAAGTTCACAGTTCAAAATCTGCAAAAAAAGGTTAGGTAATTTTGTTTAAATAACAATTTTTCTAAATAAATACATCAATCGTTGATAAATTCTAATTCAATTTTCAGATATAGTTCAAGTATCCACGAATACGTTCATAACACAAAATGACCCAAAAGAAAGTAGGTACCTAATTAAACATCCGTACAACTTAAAAGCTATAAAATACGTGTGATTTGTTTCATCTATTTGTTTTAAAACATTTTGAAGAAGACTTTAGTGTTTTCCCTCAATATTTATTTATTTGAAATTAATACATATACCATAAGAAAAAATCAATATAAATTTTGTAAATTATAATTGCAAATAAAACAATAGTAACCAAGACTTCTCCCCTGATAAATCATTCCAGAAAAAAAAGTAATACAAATATTTTATAACATAAGTATTTTATAAGTATGATGTATCCATTTTAGGTACTTTATATTGTATATCCCATATAATATATTTATTTGAAATATTTTCATATCACCAACCACCTACCAAATTGTATTCTTAGTTTTCTTTTAACGAACGGATTTTATTAAATTCATAATAATGCATGTATCGTTTTATTATAATTTCAGACCAAACAACTGAATCCACGGCTTCCTCCATCATAAATAATTTCAGAATAAAAGGTAATTTAATTATAATTTATGATATAAATAAGCATGGAGCATTCTTTATATTGTGTTTTATCTTGCACAGATTGGTTCTCGCTCGATAAGTATTTTTTGAAACAAGTGACCATTAGGTTATCAAAATTACATTTCGTTATTTTTTGTCACCGGTATTTTTAATGGTAAACCTATACACTACCCTTTTTCTTTAAATACCAACCTATGTTAAAAATCCAAAATATATAACGTAAATACATTTTAATGTTAATATTTTTTAAATTTCATTAATTCGTCAACGAGGTATATTACTTATAAATTAGGACGAGAAGAGAGTAGTGGAGCATAATACGTATTTTTTTTCTTTTAATTGATAAAGATGTATGTATTGTTTTGTTATGATTTCAGATAACACAATAGTATCTACGGCTTCCCCCATAGTAAATAATTACAGGAAAAAAGGTATAGCTTACTCAATCAAATTATTTCACATTAACATAGATCATATGGTACTTTATATTTTATATGTTATATAATAACCCAACTATAAAATTATTTATAATTTTTAAGTAAAAATCATAATTTGAATGTCTAAAATTTTTCTTACTATTATATTTATGCTAAATTCTAGATGAAACAAGTGTCACCACGACTTCACGTACCACGAATTATTCCAAAGCAAAAGGTAATTTAATTACTTTACGATATAATTATAGTTATTATAGGTCAGTATAGTAATGTGATAATTTCAATACAGACTGTTCGCTCAACCAGAAACCATTGACGCAGTATAGGGGGTACTTGGAGAGGTTATTTTTCAATTTTTTCAAGAGTTTTCTTATTAAATTTGGAAAACCGGGATAAAACATAGGAAAACTCGGAAAATCATTACAACATTAAACAATTATTATGAAAGAAAATATATAAAGCCTTTTTAATTATTTTACTACAAAATGACATACATATTGTTGACAAAGCATCTCAATCAACTGAACTCCACTCAGAATCTTTTTTTCGTTATCAATGGTTTAGTGTTGCTTACATGTATACATTAAATTATCTATAACAGCGGATGCACCCATCCCCATTATCTAGGACGTTATTTTTTTTTTAAATTGATAAAGATGCATGTATTGTTTTGTTATAATTTCAGATAACACAATAGTATCTACGGCTTCCCCCATAGTAAATAATAACAAGAAGAAAGGTATAAACTACTCAATTAAATTATTTCACGTTAGCATAGATTATATGGTACTTTATATTTTATATATTATATAATAACCCAACTATAAAATTACGTATAATTTTTAAGTAAAAATCATAATTTGAATTTCTAAAATTTTTCTTACTATTAAATTTATGCTAAATTCTAGATGAAACAAGAGTCACCACGACTTCACGTACCACGAATTATTCCAAAGCAAAAGGTAATTTAATTATTTTACGATATAATTATAGTTATTATAGGTCGGTATAGTAATGTGATAATTTCTATACAGACTATTCGCTCAACCAGAAAACATTGACGCAATTCGGGGGGTGTTTGGGAGAACTATGCACTCCCAAATTTTTGTATTAGCTATTCTACATTTCTTATCACAATAAAAATCTAATACAGTTTTAGGCCGTATAATCGCTAAGTAAAACAGTGCATATCTCAAAATTTAACAAAATAAGATTATTTTCAATATTAATAAAACAAGTTCTTTTGAACATTTATTTATCAGGAGAATTTTCTATGCGATTGGCGGTTACACTGTTATTAACAAAAATGTTATTACTATTTGTGTCGTTAAACTACAAAAACTGAGATATTATGCACTGTTGCACTTAAGTTACGATATGAAGTTTAGCTGTAGGATTAACTATTCGTATAATTTCGGTTTTTTTTTTTTTTAAACTAGATAGAATTTTAAAATTTTATTTCTCAAATTTCAAATATTGTCATTTTTTTTTTTATCATCTGACATATATTTATTGGTTGCATTTTTAGATAAAATTGTAACATCCTCTGTTTCATCTAATTCAAAAAAAGACAATAATAGAGAAGGTAATTAAAATTATCTATGGATTTAATATTATGAAAATAATAGTATTTCATGGATATGCTAATGATATTTTATTTATTTTTTTCGATTTGAAAAATTTTAATAATTATACGATTAAGAAAACGTATAGTACTTTATAAGTAAAAATCGAGGTTCATGAATTATAAGAATCATAATCGATGTATTTTTTTTTTTATATTATTTGCGGAGGAACATATTGGTTTTGCAACGATGTTTTTTTTTCTATGGACATTTTTTTACCAGCATTTTTCTCCAACTTTTAGGTGTAGCTTTTTTTCTAAAAATAAATCTGTCTGGGATGGTACTTTATGGAAGTAATTTTTTGATTTCCCCAGAAGTTTTAATTTTTAATGGGATAAACCAAGAAAAAGCGTAAGAAATATGGGAAAATTTACGAAACGTATTATTTTCAAATCCTAAAAATTACGGCCTTTCGAAATATGTAGAACTGTACTTCGCTCAGAATCGTTGTTCGTTAGCAATGATTAATTCTACAACAGCGGCCACCAATCGTTCGAAGTATGTGCATATTTTTCTTATTATAGATACTGCACTATACTTTATTGGACATTATGACATTTTTCCATCCTTTAATTTCTTTTTGAATTACTTGCAGGAAATTAAATTAAATCTTTCTTTTAATGGCGGCACGCCAGATGAGATAAGTGAAGCGATAATTCCTTAAATCAATTGATTTATTTGCATTAAAATTGAAAATTGTTTTCAGATTTTCTCTAATCAAAACAATTTCGAAATATACAATTTGCATTATTTTATATTATATAGTACCTGTTCAACAATACGTGTTTTTCAGCTTTTTGTTTTTTCAGAATGTTACTGTTACAACCAATATGGCCAATTGTGCCATTGTAATCACATATTGCAGCCTGTACCAATAGAGAGATGGCCGGGTCACGGTTGGCCGCATGTACAGCCGTGCGTAATGGAAAATCAACACTCGGCTGAAAGGCGTCATATCGCTAAACAGCAATTGGTAACGGAAAGGTTGGTCAAAGCCAAAGAGACATGGCATACGACCCAGAGATCTACAGCAATGTCTTACCAACAATTTCATTGGATGTATCCGTTGAAACAGAAATAATGAATTAATAATACCGGAATTACTTTACATATTACGCGCGTCGTAACATAATTTCTAATAATATTTCTACATATTGTATAGAGTAAATTATATACGATATGTTCGATCACAGTAATATTATTGTGATATATGTAAATATATCGACATTTAATTTTCGATTGTGTTTCGCATATAATTTTAAGTAACACCTTATAATTGGTACCGTAGGTACATGGTATAATGCCTGTATAAGAAAAATTGATAATAATATATTATACATTTTTAATTTTTAACGTAGTGGTATAATAAAATATTTCAACCAAAATAATATTTATCTCGTCAATTTGTAATGTTATGCTCAGCGTGACCAATAGTTCCAAATGTGGTCGAGTACTTGGCATTCTCTATTTTAAAAATTTGATAATTTAATAAATATAACGGAGCATTCGCTGATCGAGAGAGTTACATATTATATTGTTTACAATTAAAGTACTTTTAAATGTGTCTAATAAAGTAGACATTTACGACATTCACTTCAACCCTCCGAGGAAACTGTCACGCCGTTACCATAATTGTACTCTAAATATTTTTATATTTTCCATTCAACACCCAATCAATCTTCTATCGACATCGACGCTAAGGCCAATGGGGCCATTTTAAGCTCACAAGTAGTAATTACCGTTTTCTCGTTGTTCGAGAAGGATCCAAATCCCATTTATTACTTTCATAAGAAATATTTCAATACGGGTCAAATAAAAACATAAATATGCGACGTCTGTAAATAACACCGCCGTCATCACACCCCTACACTAGATAGTAGGTAACCTCATAATTGTTCCCACACAAAATTCAAATAAATTACGGTAGGTTTTTTTCACAAAAACTTGAGCGTTTTAACTGCTCGATAAATCCCTAGACGACCATGCAACGTAACCCCTTGACTCATCAGTAAAAGGCACGTTCTGTGACAACAGGGCATAGGTTGGCAACCATGGGCCGGGGTCGTGAACGGTCGGAGTCCACGTACGTTTAGGTATTTTCACTAAATGTCGGGAAGGGAAGCGAGTAATATGGAAAGTTTACTCGTCGGGGTGGAAAGGGCTGCCAGTAAGAGTGAAAATAAAAGGAAAAGATTTTGCGGAAAGAAGAAAAAATGTTTTTTTTGTGTATTGTGCACTAACAAAAAAAACAGCTACATCTAACTTAAACTATATGAAAGGGGCGTAGGGAAAGAAACGACACCAGCCAAAGTGAAGAGCACATTTCAAAAATAAATACATTTAAATATCATTGTCCACATTGTCCAATAAAACGGCGGGCCCACGAACTTCCCACCGCGAGGCTGCTGCAACATCTACTCCATGGTCCGAGGTAGTTGATCCAGATTTCCGTGATATAAATACTTCTGGCTGGTCTGGGAACAGGAAAGAACGAAAAGTCCACTTTTGGCCCTCGATGGACAAAAATAGGAGAACGCGAACAACGATTTATAAAAAAAAAAACTACTATCTACTACTTATCTATTACTAGGTATATGCTTTGATGTGAATACATACCTAAGTATCAAATAAAAAATATAAGATTTACTACACCATTGCGGCTGCTATGGGTATCAGTCACTATCAGAAGAGTCATCAAATAGCGTTTTCATATTTGTCATATTAGCCGTAATTCGTGTTATAATATACACCGAAATAACTGAATATTGATGCCTGGTACATATTTCATTGTTTGGACAAGTTCTATACCGATTTAGGTACAGGGAATATTATTATAGTAGCTAATGAAAAACTCCGTGCATAATTTACCGGAATTATTGCAAGTATGTTTGTTAGAACAATATATCCACGTAACAATGGTTATGAGTTCGTGACAAATTCTCAAAATACATTGTAAACCTTGGATTGTCTTCAGAAGACGATCGTAATTCGATTATCAATACAGTTATGCACGGGACAACTTTTCTCGTAAAAATAATAGAATTACTAATGTTTTATTAAAACACTTAAAATAGAAAATTATCCGTTTCGTATCGTATCAAAAATCCAAATAAATATGTAATCAACACATTTTTTTACAGATATAGATATAAACTGAGCAGTATAAATGGAAACATTTAAAATCGAAGAAGTAATCTTGAACTTAAAGTTACTAAAGAGAAGCCGTTTTTATCATATGTTCGATCCAAGCAGCGTAAAAATATGGAACTTAAACGTTTACTTTATACCCATCGTATTGATCACAGCGTTTTCGCAGTGTGTGTTGTTTTTAGCGCTTATGGGATTTTTCGTGCATGACGTTGATTCGTTTGACTACATAAACTTTTCACTTTTCATATACGTATTTATGAAAATTTATCTAACCTGTTTTATGATATACAGAATCATAAACAAGATCAATACGATTTGTTTCCCGTGTCGAAGTTTGATTTTTTGAGGAGAAAAATAACAGCTCAAAACGTTGAAATATTACACGAATATCGAGGGAAAACAATACGAATTACAAACACCTTGTTGATTTTTTTTCATCGCGGTGACCGTTCAGTGGGCACTTAATCCTTTCGCGCTCAATTCAATTCAAACCATCAAAGATCCTAATTTACATCCCGTTGAAACGCACACTTACAATAAGTATTATGTATTTTTTTACATATCGGAAGTATTACTTCTGATTATGGCTATTTATATCTCGCTTATTTTCGATGGTGTTTTTATTTCTATTTATTATGCCTTAATCGGCCAGCATAAAATAATCGTTCAGTTTTACCAAAGTATCGGATCGGAAGGCAAAACTCAAACAGGTAAAGTACTTGAAAGTATAATAATACTTACTCGTAATACCTATGATGCCTATTTAGAATAGCTATAAATAGCTTGTGGGATTTATAACAGATTTATGATGGACGTGTTATCGTTAGGTTGTTTGGTTTGGTTCATACAAAAATGCCAAAAAGTCCTAATTCTAGAATAAAATTTCCCCTCGCACAACTTTTCGGAAAACATCATCAATTAACCTTTTCTATAAAAATAGTTAAGTAATATTTTCTAATGATCTAATGAATTTAATTTGAATTAAAATATTTTTTATAGTATATTATAAATATAAAACAATGATAAACACATAAAAACTTTGACGATTTAAAATAGCTAAAATCATTTAAAAATATTTCAAAAATCAAATCACGACTGGAATAACAAAATTTGAATTTTAGAATATAAAATAGATAGATCATTTCTCATAATAAATTTTAAAAAAAAAATTATTAATATTTATTTGCCAATTTTTTCATTTTAATCAAAACCTATTTAATGTTTTGACACTCTCATTTAAAATCAAGTTTTCACCTACCAAGTAAAATTACCGAGCAATTTAATAAAAATCATTTCTATCGGCCGAAAGCAACCGCTACCACTAATACGTGTAATCAACCGGTTTTAGCGGAGAACCGAGTGTCAATAATAGAATATGTTACCAATAAATTAATGAATTTTATGTGTAAATGATCAGAATGTGTACGTCTTGGTTAATACCGGTGTTCGGCCGAGCAGCTAAACGAGTTTCTACTTTTTTGGCTAAGTATTCAGCAGACGAATATTAGATTAGGTATTGTCATCACTAGTCTGTCATAGTCAAACAAAATTAGTAGTAGCAACGACAACGGTTTTTCTTTTCTTGTAAGCACATATTTTTTTTGTTTTTTTTTTCACCTGAACGTATCTAAAGCAAACGACATAATGTTCTATAATTACGATATTATTACCTATGCATATATGTTATGTCTCTCGTAATAATATGCAACAATATCATCAAGTCCAATACAATTGATTTTAAATGGGCGGAAAAAAATCGAAATTATTATGTATTATGTAAGTACTTACATAACACATCGCTGTAATTTAAATGTGTCTACCGATATTCAATATTCTTTTTAGTATATATATATATGTATTATAATATAGTTATCACCTGACACTTAATTTCTGTGTACCTACCCTAGAAAAATAAACTGAAAACTATAAGATTGTTTTCTTCATCCGACTTTATAGGGCGATTTTAATCGTGACAATCGTTTATCTGCAAAGATTTTCAATAAAATTCAATTTGGAGTTTTTTAGCAATTTACCATTTATTTTTATTATTTAGAATATTTATAAAATGTTTGACATTTAGCACAAACCACTTTGTTTTAAAAATCTAGTTGGATTTAGTCGTTGTAATAAATTGCATGCGATTATCTTCGTAATAGTTATATGTATATTATATTTTTAAAATAGAAATACCTTAGTATACCTTAGAACTACCTTTTATACGTCTTATAAAATCTATACTTGAAAATAAGTTCTAGTATATAATACATTTAAAAATTAATAATACTGAAAATTATGCAGAAAATTAGGAAATAATTTGTGGTTTTGGGTAATCCTAATCCCATTCAGCCCTCTATCGTTAAACACTTTGATGCGTGTAATGACAGTAATGCACGGATTTACAAAAAAGGTCGAAATGTATAATAGTAATGTACAAATGATTTATGCCTTAAATATTACATATATAATTGAACTTCACTCTGGATAATTTTTCGTTATCAATAGTTTATCCTTGGTTACAGGGATAAATAATTTTATGTATCAAACCTTCCCAACTGCCTACTTATGACAGTAGCCCCATCTGTCCTCAGTATCAGCTCGTTTTTTTTCATATTTTTTTTTTTTAAACGTTGTACAAAATCGTATAAATATATAAAAACATATTGTTTTCATTGTCATTATTAAAAAACTTCACCAAATGCTATGAATAACGTAACATACATAGTTGTGTACAAATCGTATCACTTATTGTATCGCCACAATGGAATTACTATAATATCATAGAATAATAGTTAAAAATAAAAGATAAAATTTAAACTGATTTTGTACATGGATATATTTATTAAAAACTTGACAAATTTATTATTTTAGGTTATCGTTTTAAAAGTAATAGATTCCTGACAAGTTGAGATTATTATTTCGATATTTTTATCATTTTTTTAAAAAAAAAAAAGTACATCATTATAGACAGAAAAATTAAATTATGGTCAAACTAACTCGTACTAGGATAAATCGCTTCGTGAAAACAGACTGTGGAGTATATTGAGTAGAAATGTTCATCGTTATTACGGCGCTATACAATAGCAATATCAAAAAGCACGATATTCAAGGTTACATAATTAAAGAAAATATATAGAGCCTATTTAATTATTTTACAATAATATGGCATATATATATAGTAAACAAAACATCACTATCAACTGAACTCCGCTCAA